TTGGCAATAGTCAGTCCAATCTATATAATATATTCACGCATGCGCAGACTTTTTGATGGGCGGGGCAACGTAATCATGCACGGACTGATTTGCGCGTGTTTAAACGCGGTCATCACGATTTTTTTAACGCTCTCAACCCATCTGGAGCGCAGAAGGAACAAAATTTGGCCAAACTGCCGAAATGCATTGACAGAGACATTTCAGGGATTTTGACTCAGTGTGTGCTCCAGATGGGTTGACTGTTAATCATGTTAGTCATGATGACGGCGCGTTAACGCTGACAGCACTAAAAATATAAAGTCGCCAATTTGGGATTTCTTTGGCTTTAAACCAGATGAAAGAGGTAAACCTAAGGATGTAACCAAAGCGCTGTGCCGCTTGTGCAGACGTATAGTGGAAGCAAAGTACTCAAACACGCCTAACTTGCGAGAGCATGTACGTGTCAACCATCTCGCTGAGTATGCTAGGCTATCAGCAGCTTCTGCAGCTCCATTTTTCTGTTGACTGCTTCTATTAGCTCCATCATTATTAGCAAACTTACTCATGGGCAAATAAATAAATAAACTGCCATTGAAAAACTATCGACGATGTATTCGTCCAATCGCCCAAGTGAGGGTTGAAGGAGCAGTGGAGGGGACACAGTAAAGGCTGGAAGTGTTACAGGCAGAGATTTAGAAACCGGAAGAGGGGAGAGAAACAGACTTATGTTGAGTTTACTTGGAACATTTTCCACCACTTTACATGTTGACGTGGTGCTGAGGAGGCAGATTTGTATAACATGGTTATCTTGGAACAGTTTAAGAGCACTCTGCCGGTTTACCTTGCTGCTTATGTTAATAGGAAGAAGGTGAAGACAGCTTCTGCAGCTTCTGTTATGGCAGATGAATATGTTTGGTCCAACTCCAGGCCTCAGGGCCGGTGTCCTGCAGGTTTTAGATGTGTCCTCGATCCAACGCAGCTGATTTAAATGGCTCCATGCTCCAAATGTTCTCCAGAGGCCTGGTAATGAACTAGTCATTTGATTCTGGTGTGTTGACCCAGGGTGGGATTTAAAACCTGCAGGACGCCGGCCATCGAGGCCTGGAGTTGGACACCCCTGATAAAGCCTAATATAGGCTCTAAATAAGCTTCACTTAGCCTCTGTGGGAGGCTCACATTTCATGTAAAATGATGCTATGCTGCATGTGTATGTGTGAGACTTACTGCGTTCAGAAATTGC